GAGTGAAGCTGCTAGAATTACCTACTTACATACCACCGAACGCATCAAGCATTGCATCAAGTATCTCTCTAATACAATGGCGGTTAGTAGAGAAGCATCGCAGGAACAAAATACTCCAATTGCCGAGATCTGGTGTAACACGCAGTTGAAAGTGGAGAGCTTCAACTATATGTGGACCATAAATAATTTTAGTTTTTATTACGAGGAAACTGGTGACACGCTGATATCGTCCCCATTTTATAGCGGTGCTAGTGACAAACTGAAATGGCGTTTTGAATTGCGGCGAAGATGTCCCGTTTATCTCTCGATTTATTTGGTATTGTCATCGTCGTCAGAAGCTAGAGCCAAATTTAGGTGCTCCCAATTGAATGGGAAAGGGGAAGAATTAGAATCCATGGCATTGCCCTGTCGTCGTTTCGGAAAGGGTAAAAAGTGGGGAATTGAAGAATTCATACGACGAGATTTTCTATTGGATGAAAGCAAAGGTCTTTTAAGGGAAGACACATTGACTATATTGTGTAAAGTTAGCGTTCTATCTGACATCGTGAATAGCTCTGGGAAATCAAAATCCATTCAAATTAAAATACCCAAACGTTGTTTGTCCGACGACTTGGGTGCGCTATTTCATAATGAGAAATTCAGTGATGTAACGTTGGCGGTAGAAGGCAGGGAATTTCGTGCGCATAAAGCTATATTGGCGGCACGAAGTGAAGTCTTTAGTGCTATGTTTGAGCACGAAATGAAGGAGCATAAACAAAATAATGTCGATATCCAGGACATCGATCACGAAGTATTGAAAGAAATGCTGTGTTTCATCTACACAGGCAAAGTACCAAATTTAGAACAAATGGCTGATGTTCTTCTAATTGCTGCTGATAAGTATGCGCTCGAAAAACTGAAAGTAATATGCGAAGAGGCTATCTGTCGTAAGCTCTCCGTAGAAAACGCATTGGAAACTTTAGTATTAGCCGACCTACATAGTGCGCATCAATTGAAAGCACAAGCCATAGATTTCATAAATAGTCATGCCACTGATGTGCTGGCAACTTCCCGCTGGCAGAGTATGATTACGACACATTCACATCTGTTTGAGGAGGTACTTCGTAAGATTGCGAAATCACAGATACCATCAACTGGACTAGCAAACAAGCGTGAAATTAACTGAAAACACGTCACGACAAATCGATACACATCTGAACATGTATGCATAATATCAAAAGCTCTATTAAATATATGTAAAATACTTTGTAAATAAAATTTAGAAAGCCTTTTGAGAGATGTTTGTTTANAAGCTCTATTAAATATATGTAAAATACTTTGTAAATAAAATTTAGAAAGCCTTTTGAGAGATGTTTGTTTAATCTTACCTCAGAAGTACTTATAAAGAACTTTAGAAAATATCCATGGTGTAATAATAACAAGGTGTTGTCAGTAACTTAACCTCACTTTTTCGGCAGGTCTATTCCGGTCACGCATTTTAAAGTAGTAGAAAAAGTACTAATTATTTACTACTTTTAATCTGTTCTTGCGTACTATTTCAAATTAAATGTAGAAAAATGTTTAATTACAGGCTTATAAGCCTGAATATATGTTTTTATCGTAAGCTCCACACAGGTTGCACATATATTGTAACTTGTAAAAAAGTACAGGCCGTAAAATAAGGCAATTTCCTATAAAACTGTAAATGATTTTTTAAATAGATTAGTAATAATAATAATATATTGACGCTTACACATATGTTAGTGTTTGGCCGAGCTTCTCCTCCGACTTGTGGCGTGCGCCTTGATGTTGTCACACAAAGCGGAGGGATCTACAATTTTACGCCGACTCCGAACGGCGATTGCATTTTTATGAGAAGCTGTTTTTCATAGCAGTAATACACTCGGAGGTTTGTCATTCCTGACGAGTGACGACCGCTGTTAAGAAAAAACCTTTTTTCTATATTTTTTGCGATGTTGCTTTGACCAGGGCTTGAACCCAGGTGCTGCGGAGTGGAGCGCGCACTGCTTGCCACTACGCCACAGTGGCTGACTATATAGATTAAAACACATAAATATCGATAATATAAGCGAAGTCGTAATTTAACCATTCTGCCGCTCTATTCTAGTGTATCAGTAGTCCATTTGGTCGATATTATGACAATGTAGAAAAAGATATTTAATATAAAATAATCGCCTTTCCATACGATTTTTGTGTACGTCTTTTTCCATTGATAACTACGATATCTTTTATATTTTATATTTTGAGGACAAAAATTATACAAATCCAGCAATTTTAAATATTAATATCGTTCTGAAAACACCAAGTTCTTTAAAAAAACGATAAAATGAAATACTAAAATGGAGTATTTTAAATACAATTTCCCAACTAATAGCATTATAAAAATTAAGATCGGCAGCACTGAAAATAAGCATGCCGATCTTGTCAAAATTACAACAAACACGTCGCTACTGACAACACCTTGTTATTATTTCACCATGCGTATTTTAAACCGTTGTGATAAATAAAAAAATTGATTTGAAAACAAATGCGAGTCAATACAGTTTTGAAGTTCAAAGCGTATTGAAATTTAGTTTATGCATCCGTTTTGATTCACTGCGAACTGAGTTGTCTGTTCACAAGTACAGAGGTGCCACCAGCGGGCGTCCATATTAGGGTAAAAACATAGTGGAGAGGCGAGCAAAGCGAAGAGCTAGCATCGAGCAAATCTCAAATTGCAAACGTGTATGTACGCTTTGCTCTTCAATATTGCGTTCTCCTATTGAAATATATACGTTTGAAATCGACGCTTTGCTCGATGCTCTTTGCTCGTCCCTCCACGGTGTTTTGACCCTTAGAGCAAATGTCCAAAATAGGCATGGATGTTTAGTGCGCGGCCGCTGGGATGTAGTGGTAAGCACTTATAGGGTTATGTAAAATGACGTTGAGCAATACCACCAGCACCGTCAGAGTAGGGAAAAAATTCTAAAAAAGCTACCGTACTTTTTAGCCCGAAAATTTTACCATAGAGTTAGGCGACTTACGGAAGGTTGAAGGACCGGGGCGTACTCCTGTAAGAACAATAATGGTGACCTAGTAACTGATGTCCAGAGCGTACTTAAATTATGGAGGGAACACTTTTCCGCCCTACTAAATGGTAGCAGCACGGAAAGTTGTGGAGAAGAAGAACCCGAGCCCGCAGTCGATGATGACGGAGTCGACGTTCCTCTGCTTGACTATGACGAGTTACGTATAGCAACAACGCGGCTGAAAAACAACAAAGCCGCTGGAGCTGACAGCCTGCCAGCTGAGCTATTCAAGTACGGCGGCGAGGAGTTGATAAGGTGCATGCATCAACTCTTGTGCAGAATATGGTCAGATGAACGCATGCCCGACGACTGGAATTTAAGTGTGCTCTGCCCAATCCACAAGAAAGGTGACCCCGCCATTCGCGCCAACTACCGCGGGATCAGCCTTCTAAGCATAGGTTACAAGGTCTTATCGAGCGTATTGTGTGAAAGACTGAAGCCCACCGTCAATGAACTGATTGGGCCTTATCAGTGTGGCTTTAGACCTGGCAAATCCACCATAGACCAGGTATTCACAATACGCCAAATCTTGGAAAAGACCCGCGAGAAAAGGATCGACACTCACCACCTATTTGTTGACTTTAAATCCGCTTATGACAGCACTAAAAGGAGTTGCCTATATGCCGCTATGTCTGAATTTGGCATCCCCTCAAAACTTATGCGGCTGTGTAAAATGACGTTGAGCAATACCATCAGCTCCGTCAGAATTGGGAAAGACCTCTCCGAGTCATTCGCCACAAAACGAGGTTTCAGACAGGGCGACTCCCTTTCGTGTGACTTCTTTAATCTGATGTTGGAGAAGATAATACGAGCTGCAGAACTGAACCGCTCAGGAACAATTTACTAAAAGAGCGTGCAATTGCTGGCTTATGCCGATGACATCGACCTCATCTGTAACAAAAACCGCGAAGTTTGTTCTGCCTTTTCCAAGTTGGATAGGGAAGCAAAGCGCATGGGTCTGGTGGTAAACGAGGACAAGACGAAGTATCTCCTGTCATCAAACAAACAGTCAGCACATTCGCGCCTTGGCACCCACGTCACTGTTGACAGTTACAATTTCGAGAAAGTAGAGAATTTCGTTTACTTGGGAACCAGCATTAACACCGATAATAATGTCAGCATTGAAATCCAACGTAGAATCACTCTTGCCAACAAGTGCTACTTTGGACTGAGTAGGCAATTCAGGAGTAAAGTCCTCTCTCGACGTACGAAAACCACGCTCTATAAGTCACTCATCATGCCCGTGCTGGTATATGGCGCAGAAGCATGGACAATGACAATATCCGATGAGCCGGCTCTTGGAGTATTCGAGAGAAAGATTTTGCGGAAGATTTACGATGGAACGATGAGCTGTTTGAGCCTTACAACGACATGGACATAGTGCAGCGAATTAAAATACAGCGGCTCCGCTGGCTTGGCCATGTCGTTCGAATGGACACCGACGCTCCAGCTCTGGGAGCAGAGGAAGAGGGAGGCCCCCACTGCGATGGAAAGATCAGGTGGAGAAGGACTTGGCTTCACTTGGCGTTTCCAATTGGCGTCAGTTGGTACAGATGAGAAACGACTGGCGTGCTTTGCTGAACTCGGCCAAAATCGCTTAGGCGGTTACAGCGCCAAAAAAGAAGACGAAGAAGAATTTTTAACCATTTGAATCTTGCACCTTATGTAATTGGCGGGCACTTTGAATTTACATCTTTTTTTATTAAATCACCGGAATATTTCTGTGAGACNGTGCTTTGCTGAACTCGGCCAAAATCGCTTAGGCGGTTACAGCGCCAAAAAAGAAGACGAAGAAGAATTTTTAACCATTTGAATCTTGCACCTTATGTAATTGGCGGGCACTTTGAATTTACATCTTTTTTTATTAAATCACCGGAATATCTCTGTGAGACAATTTAGTATTACCTATTTGTTGCAGCAGTGTCATAATCAAAAAAAAAAGTTGATTCAGTTAAGTATCAGAAATAACCGCAAATTTTGTCCTGGGACTCGGTTTCAACCGAAACTGTGCATGTATGTTTTATTTCGGTTTTTGTCATATGCATTATTTCGGTTTTCAAACGAAAGTGTACATTTGGATAATTTCGTTTTTTTTCTCATGCGCATTACTTCAGCCGCCGAAGGTCGCTTACGCAGAAAAAATACTTCCGCCCTCGTTTCCGGTAAAACTACATAGGTGGAATAATAAATAAGCCTGTACACTTATGATTTGCATTACCGCATCATCGATTTGCGCAAACCGTCTGTACTAAATGGATTTTGTGCTATTTTCCCTATCGCAAATGCAAGTACAGTAAAAATGTACCACGAAGGAATCGCGCATGGAGGCTCTATAAGGATCTTGGCCGTCCGCCCCACTCTAATAATATGTAGTTGTACTTAGTTAAAAAAATAAAATTAATTTTTTGATGCACTCTTGTTTTATTTCCTTTTAAGTTGCTTCTCATTTTACAACTTGGCAATATATGGTTATAATTTTTTCGATCACTGTAAGTACCTGCAATCAAACCATTTATAAGCTCATGCCTTGAGTGGATAGCCTATTTTCTCTCATTAAATACTCGCATTACGGCTTATTTATTTGGGCATTCATTTCCCACTCCATTTCATCCCCGGTTCTCCTTCACTTCGTTCACATTTCATTTAGTGTTAATTTACTCCTTGTAAGTTGTATGCTGTGTTTGCTGTTGTACTGTCCGTTAGCTCTTGGAAAAACTACACGCGCTTTATCTATCCTTGGTGGAAAATAGTATGTGCTAATAAAGAAGAAAAAAAAAATACTAAAAAAATAAACCTATGTTTTTCTAATAAAAATTGCATTGGAAATGCATTCGTATTTGACTTACCACCTACTCATAATCTCATTACAAGTGGTAAGTCGGTATAATTTTCAATAAGCCATATTTGAAATTCATAAGTCTCTCAAACACCCAAGTGTCTCAGCCAAGTGGTGCGGCCCGATGTTGCCAATGTGGTGCCGTTTGCACCCGCAACGCCACCAATCCCAGCGATATGTGCTGACAGATCCGCTGCCGCCGTTCCACCGCTCCAATCAAATGCACTGCGTTTTCGTTTACCATTTATGGATATGAGAATAGAAAATGAACGAAATTTGCATGTAATGCATGAAATTGCCACACAGCGGCTTTTTGTTTTGCACGGCCGGGAATTGTACGAATTGATTGTAAGTGGCCAGGAGAAACGTTTGTCCCTAATTGGCGCGCTGGCAGGCAGTGTAAGGCAACAGGAGCCCATAGCAGCAGAGGTGAGGAGAGAAACAAAAAAAACGCTGTCCGACATTAAAGTGATAACTCCATTTCACGCTCTCGAAAAGAGCTTCATATTAAAATGAACAAATATTCTATTAAAAATGGAGTTATCCATTTAACTTACATCTGACACCCTAACAATAAATTTTCATACCTAAAAAAAAATAAATGTATTTTTTAATTTCTTCAGGTAATTTTTTGGCGTAAATATTTGCTGTTGGTGATCGCTTTGGAAGACTTTCTGGAGATTTATCAATTGCCTGCTGGCTTGTTGGCGCAAAATGCTGAGGCAGCAAAGTTGGGTCAAGTAGGCATCGATACAATAACAAATTTCGAGCCAATACAACAACTTATGCTAAACGGTAGATTTCGTAAGCTGTTTCTGATCAATGTAGCCGACGAACGTGTTATGCTTTTAACGGCGGTTAACTATACTAAGCTGCAATCGAAATTGCGGTAAGTTGAAATTTTCTAACATTATTATATTATCTATTTACAGTGACTCAAACAAATGGCCATGTGTTGATTTTTTTTTTTTTTAAATAGATATTCACAATGTCTATTAAGTACATTTTTTTGTTGTTGTTTTTCTATAAAAACCATATAAATCAAAGTTTCAACTTTTATACAAAAATTATGAAAATTCAAACAATTTTCATGAAAATTTCAAACTTTTTAGTCTGAATCTTTAGAACATTTTTGTATGCAGTTTTATAGCCCAATTTAAACTTCTTCATATATTTTTCTGTAACAAATTTGTCACTGATAAAGAATAGAGCCGTTAGTGTGTTGGTAAGTTTAAAATGAAAAAAAAAAATGATACACGTTTTGGTGACGGCTTTTGCGGCTTTTTTGTAAAAAAACATAATGCACCTATTACAAAAACTGACGTTGATTTTTTGAAATGTTGTTGCGAACGGCATTCTGCATTTTATTGTAAATCTATTTTTTAATTATTTCATTTACTTTTTAGAAATTTATATTTTTTTTTGCTTTTAATTTAGTATTTTTTTAATAGAATTTTGTTTTAATTCTTAGATTTAAAAAATTTAATTATAAAAGAAGACAAAAATATAAGTTTCTAAACACTAAAATTATCTGAGAAGAAGAACAAAAATAAAAATTAGACAATAAAATAAGTAACGAAAAATTATATAATATATACATATGTATATCTTTTTTAAAAATAAACTTATTTTATTTTCTTATTTTTATTTTTCTTCTTCTTTTCATATAAATTTTTGGATTATATTGTTTTAAAAAGAAAAGTAGATAGTTACATTTTTTTGAAATCTTTTACGAAACTAATTTAATTTTTTTGCTTCTTCCTTTCATTTAATTTTCGGATTTTATTGTTTTAAAAAGAAAAACTATCGTTTTAATTTAGTTTAATGTTTAGTAACTTATATTTTTTTCTTCTTCTTAACCGACTTCAAAAAAGGAGGAGGTTATCAATTCGTGGGAATATTTTTTTATGTATATACATATGTTACTCCTAAATTTTTATATGAGACTTGAAGTCGGTTGTGTTTTTTGCTCAAAAATTACTTATTTTTAATAATTATTATAACAAACATTTAATAATTATTTTTATTAAAATTTTAGATCTTACTGTTTTAAAATCAAAAAGAAATTTTTTAAATTCATTAATTGTTAGGAACTCATTTCATTTTCGTTTAAATTTTAGGAAACATACATATCTTATTTAAAATAATGAAATAAGTTTATTTTTTTTAATCTATTTAGTTGTCTTTTTGATTAAATTTTTTTTAACTTTTAAATTTCTTTGAAAAATCATATTTTTAATTTAATTTAATTTTTAGAATTGTTTTTTTTTTATAATTTAATTCTTTTTTAATTGAATTTTCTTCAATATTCTCAGTTTTTATTCTTTTTTAAAGAAAAATAAGAATAGCCCTTTCTATCTATATATGTATGTAATAGGCGAAGGGATTTTTTGTCCTGGAGAAAGATCTGTACCGTTCGCCCGATTTCAGAAATGTCAAACTAAAGCGCTTGGTCCGTAGATGTGCAAATGGTTTTAGTTTTTCGAAAAGAGTGATGTTGAACAATTGAACTCAAATTATTTAATAATCAATGCCATCATGTCTGTCAAATTAAAAGAGTTAGACTGTATGTGCAATAAGGTTTTCCTTTTTTGAAAGTGTTCCACCTTTTAAAAATTATATTCAAATGGGTATCAATCGAAATGATTTTGAAAAGCTTTGTTCTATATTTGAACTATAGGAGGATTGTTAAAAAAAAATTATATTAGGTAAGAGAAATATGTATTTCTTTTTGGTTGTTGTTGTGTCCTACAAACCGGTTTCGGTGTTTACATCAGATATATGTATCACCATATGGGTGCCAAACGGAAGAGGTTTCGGAAAGTAGTAGTTTGAAAATACTTTAGAAGAGGGTTGCCACCTGCTTGAAATGTCGAATTTAGTTTACTTATTTATACACAAGTTATATGAAATATCAAAATATGGATGTCAAAGGAAAGAGTGTTAAAAACTCTTTAGTTTGAAGGAAAATGTTCAAGGTGTTGGAAGAGTGTAGCCACCTGTTTAAAAAGTTAAATTCAAATTATTTAATTAGATAAATGAATTACTAAAATAACTTTTTTATTTCTGTACTGTATTTAGCTGAGTTGCCACATGTTTGAAAAATCAAATTCCACATAATTCATTAATTAAGCTTTAAAATATTTTTGAAGAGGGCTGCCACCTGTTTGAAAGATCTAACTCAATTAACTTATACAAAAACTATATGAAATATAAAAATATCGTAGTCAAACGAAAGAATGTTAAGAAATCTTTAGTTTGAACATTTGGAATTATTGAAGAGGGTTGCCACGTGTTTAAAAAGTCACATTCAAGTTATTCAATAAGCTGGATGAATTATTAATGGGTATCAATCGAAATGGGTTTTGAAAAGGATTTATTCCTGACCTTTATTTAGGAGGAAAGTGATTTAAGACGATTTTAGTTTGAGAATACTTTTGAAAAGGAATTTCAAAAATGAGAATGAGGATTTTTGAAATTTGAGAAAATTAAAAACAATGCACTATGCGAGTCTGCTCTTCTCGGCACTCGCAACTCTTATAACTCTGATTAAAATTTGGAATATTTTTTAAGTTTTTGAAATAAAATTTTGGGCATTTCAACGTCATACATAAAAATTTCATTTCTTGATTTGAGATTTGATCAATTTAAATGCACCCAACTTGGGGCTATGTTTTGTTATCTTAATTAAGTAGATGGAATCGGGATTATGGAACGATTAAGAAATTAATCAAGTTTAACTTCCGTAACGCGGCCTCGGCGCACAAATTATTTTTTTGCTATTTCTAAAAGCACCCTTAAAAGTTGAAGCATAATAGATTACAAAAAATCTCTTTATATAGCCACGAGAAGAGCGAACGAATTCATTCTCAGAGAAAGTAAATAAAAAAATATGTTAGCGACGATACATTTTAAATCGACCAATTTTGTAGTCCACCATTTTTAATTTGAATGAATTTAAGTTAGAACTTTTATTTTATCATATGATGAAGTTCTGCAAAAAAAATTTNTTTAAGTTAGAACTTTTATTTTATCATATGATGAAGTTCTGCAAAAAAAAAAAAAAATTGATCCAAAGTTAAGAATTTCACGATTTCCCGGATTTTGCAAGTTTATTTTTTCAATAATTTAAAAAAAAGAAAATTAAAAATGCGCAACACCCCCGACAAAAAAAAAATTCTCCATTATCAAATTAAAATTTAATGGTCTACAAAACTGCATCCCCAAAATTTGTTTAAGAAATGGAATTTAAAAGATGAAAATTTTGATGACAGCATATGAAATTGAAAAAATTTATTCTGTTAGTGAAATTCGCTGAAAGCAGGTTTTCAATATAAGCGNATCCAAAGTTAAGAATTTCACGATTTCCCGGATTTTGCAAGTTTATTTTTTCAATAATTTAAAAAAAAGAAAATTAAAAATGCGCAACACCCCCGACAAAAAAAAAATTCTCCATTATCAAATTAAAATTTAATGGTCTACAAAACTGCATCCCCAAAATTTGTTTAAGAAATGGAATTTAAAAGATGAAAATTTTGATGACAGCATATGAAATTGAAAAAATTTATTCTGTTAGTGAAATTCGCTGAAAGCAGGTTTTCAATATAAGCGCTCGATATTAAAAGAAAAAATCGAAAAATAAAAAAAACCTTGAATTTTGAAATTTAAAAATTTTAAAAGCAAAAACTTATATATTTTTGGGCAATATTTTTTTATAGATTACTAATTAAAAAAAAAAATTATTGCAAAACCTAACAGCCAATTTAATGAAAGCAATTTCAGAAAAAAATGATTTATAATTTTTTGAATGTTATATGGAAAAGAACGGAAAATAAGAAACCATTTTCCATTTCAATTGCTGGTGAAACCGGCTGTAAATTTAAAACAAATTTAAATTAATTAAAATTGTTAAACATAACTGTATTCAGAGTTTTCAAAAAATGTTTTTTTCAAAGTACAAAAAATTATATCCTAAAAAACGCTGAAAATTTCAGGATCAGTTGGAGATGTTGTAGAAAAGGAATTTTGTCCACAAATTTTTATAAGTTCTTGATTTTCCGATTTTTTTTAATTGAAAAATTCTGTAAATTGTTTTATATTTCGATTTTGTTATATATTTTTTCTTATAGCCTTAAATATCACATTTAAAACGAGACCAGAATTATTTTTGTAATTGTAATAGTTTTTGAGATATAAGAAAAAATAAGCTGGCAAATTGCCGAAAATTGTGAAATTTTGCAAAATTTTCGGAAAAAATTGAATTTTTTCCTATGGCAGAAGAAAATTCCTGCCAACCAAGAATGCTCGATGTCAACCATTGGCCGATTTGACATGGACTGACGTATTATATAATTTCATTTACTTCCTTTTTTTTGCAAAGTATTTTAAAATATTTGCTTATCTAATCTGATTTTCAGAACTTATGAGTGGTCGAATACATTTTTCGACATGGTGGAGGAGCTCACATTACCGGCTATTCATGTGTTGGAAGTCATTGGCACGGCGCCAAAATTTTTGCTAAGTGGACGTCTTATCAAACATCAAGGCCGGGTAGTAATCTTAAATTTGTACTTTCCAAAAAGGTTTCTTAAACAACATTCTATTTCTCTCTCTTTCTTTAGACCATTATCGTTGTATACGAAATACATGCCAACGATTTGCATTTACGTAATCGCCAAACTCTCACCATACCCTCACGCACCATACACGCATTCACGTACCGTGGCCGCAATTATCTCATCGGTTGTACGGCGCAGCAACAGAAGTGCAACTTATTTCACATGAAGCGGCAAGAAGCACAATTCTCGATATTTCGTCAATTCAACGGTAAAGATTTGACATTTGATCGTTTCGCAGCGGGTGCACACTTTTTGGTGGGTGCCCATCAACGGACTGTGAATATTTATCCAACTTCACGGCTGGACTGCTATGCCAGCTTTAGCGCCAACGAAAGCGACATCACTGAGATAGTAACGCACGTGAGCCCACAGGATGGCTCCTTTGTGCTGCTCAATTATCGGCGTCCTTTTCATACTTTGTTACGCATTGTAGAAGTTGAAGCGGCGGATGGACAACGACTAGGTGCTGCGTCTGCGGCGTTAAATGACACTGGAATGGAAGGTGAGTTGGTTGTTTGATGGTTAGTGAGATGGTGGTGGGGAGCGATGCTAGACTGCAGGTTATGGTTGGTTCGTTGGCTGGTTGAAGTGGCGAGTTTAGCAGCTATGCGTACCGTTTTAAAATCACTGCTCGCAAATTAACTTGAAAACAAAAGACAAAAAGAAAACAGCAGAAGTCGGTTATTTTTCTGAAGTTCAAGAGCTCAGGAAACTGCAGTGGGTTAATATTACTTATGTCTGTTAAACCGCAGTAGCACGGTTTGCCTAGAAGCCTGATTCTAGTCCTACATAGTGCTGGGCAATAACAGTGTAGATGCTCCACCGCTTTTCTATACCTAGTAAATTACAGCTAAGACCAAAAGTCTAGCTCGTCGGCCATCTAATTGCCATGAATTTTGCTGTACTCCGGCACCCAGATCAGTGCAACGTCAGCGAAAGCCATAACGCTCTCTTTGCACTGCTTTATTACGCTGGAAGTTCTGCTTATAGAGCCAAATGCTTTGGACGCTGCCTGGCTATCCTAGAAATAGTAATGCTGGACGCTATTAGATTCGCGACAAAAATTAATTTGCGTGCCCCTTTGATAGCAAAGACCGGTACCTGAAAACCATTGGCCGAAATTGGTAGTCGAATAGACTCTTCGATTTGGAGGTCAGTTCAAAAATCCTGCCTCGACGCCACAATCCATTTTTGAGCTTTCCGTAAAAAAAGATACCTTGAAGCGTTCAGTAAAAATAGGTTCATTCGATTCCTTTCTTGGTGGAAACATCGCGCCGAAGTTCTTCTTGAAGAGAAGCGAAGTACAGTTGTAGTCAGATTTTTCGTAAATGCTTGAGTCGTCGAAAGAGTACAGGTTAGTTACTTCCATACCCCTACGTTCGTTCTTTCCATAGTCTAAGTTCCCTCAACTTCAGGGTATTCTGTGAAGCGATTTCCTTAATAAAGAGATAAATCGGTGTCAAATGAATGATGACATTCAATGTTTCCGTAGGCCATAATCTGATTGTCCCAGCAATCGCAATACAGGCTGACCTTTGTACCCTACCTAACATTATGTTGATCTCTATGGCTTTCCACCAAACCAGCGAAACGTATGCAATAATTGGGCGAATCACCGCCTTGTAAATCCATAAAGCTCAAGTCATAGGCCCCACTTACTCAGCATTTTCTTGCAGGAATACAGAGCACTATAGGCCTTTTTTACTCAGTACTCCGTGTTCAATTTCCAGTTCAATTTCGGTGTGAGAATGACTCCCGAATACTTGTCGCAAGGGGAAAGAGACAGAGTATGCCCATTTCAGGAATGTAGGTTAAAATTAGGAATCTTTTCGCTTGTGGTGAATAATAGTCAATCGGTCTTCGAAGCATTAAAGTTGAGCCCGCAGCTATCTGCCCAAAAATCCAATTAGCCCAGTGCTCTTTGAAGCAATCCGCTTATCACATTTATTCACAATCCGGATACGAGAATAATTACATGGCCTGCGTATGCTCAAACTTTGACCCCTTCCCCCACTTCCCGGTTAAGTCTTAGAAGAATTTTGTTTAGTTTGCAAAGCCACCGCAGCAGCTGTAGGCTATAAGTTTTGAGTAAGAAAAGTCAAAACATTCTTGTGGGTCTCTTTTTTGCCGCATATTGATTACCTAATGGAAAAATACGTTTTTAATTCAATTTTCTTTCCGTTGCCAGATTTAAGTGACTTACAACAACATCGCCACCTATTCGAAGGAACTGTAGAACGTTTGCGAAGCTTGCTATTACAACGCAAGTTAGCTATGGATGTCTTCCGTAGAGCTGCTGCCATCGTGCGACCTAAACTGCAGCGATTTAATGCGCCAAATCCAGTGCGTTTGCATGCGGGTAACATTGGAATTGTAAGAATTTTGGGTGAGACACTACAGAGTCCAGTACAGCTGATGAGACGTGTGGAGGCCATCCGTATGCCAAGACGTAGCTTGCGTTTTACGCGCGAGGTATTTCAAAGTAACGGTTTTGTGTTGGATATGCCGCGTATTGCTAAGATTCGACAGTTACAAGTCGGTAACCTCCACTACAATGGCACACTTCTACCTGGTAGGTTCCACACATGTGTAATCACTGAAGTCATCTGTTATACAACGCCAATTTTACGCAGGTTTCCACTTGGATAATAGCTCGAGTAGCCGCCTTCCCACGCTCTCGATACGCTCTGCCGTCCGCACCAAAATTTTGAGCACACCGCAGCTATTAACGCGTCACTCATCGCGCCTATTTCGCCAAAATGCCAACGCATCTGTCGATTTACCTATTCGGGTGCGTGATCTGAATGTGGCACGTATTAATGATGTTTCCGTTTCGGATTTTTTGAATTCGTTATTTTTACGTAATCGTGATCGTAAGTTAAAGGGTAGTCTGATATTGCAAGGCGAGACAAGAGTGGATGCACTTTGGACACCTTTACTGAATAATTTAGTTGTTGCAAAACTTTTCAACCTAAAAGAGCCACAAATTGTGAGTTCGAGATTTCTGATAAATTCAATAACTGCAAAGGACGTGCAGGTGGAATTGGTGAATGGCTTGCATTTTGAAGAGGATGTGGCGTTCAGCGGCCGTGATGACGTAATTGAAAGTAAGTTAAAGACACAATTTGTGAAAAAAAGGACTCCATACAATTTTAGTGCATTTTAATGTAAAATTCAAAGTCTTCCGAGACTTTTGGAGATATGTACATTAGGGTGCAGTAATTTAATTTCGCAAAAAGTGTATGTCATATTCGAATTCTATGTTCGATTCAACGCAAAAATGGTGAAACTATAAACCGAAAATGGCGTTTTACCCTGCCAATTTTTAAAAGAAAAATCAGTGTATTATAATTTTTTCCGAACGAAGTAAATTTTTCATTAACACAATTTTGTGTTTTCTTCACACAATATTTATACTGATTTTTCTTTTAGAAATTGGGAGGGTCAAACGTCATTTTTGTTCGCCATTTTTGTTTAGAATTAATCGTAGAACTTCAATTTGCTATACACTTTCTTGGAAAATTTTTGCGCCAAACAAATTATTCCGCTCTAATGTACTTTCAAATTTTCCGCCCACGGCAATATAAGGAACCTATTAAGCAAAAAACAAAAACATTATGGCTGTTCTTTTCATCGACCATATAGAGTGTTTAGAACCTGTCTGGAATTTGGACAAGTTCCATTTCTTTGGAGAAACGGCAGGGTAGTCTTCATTTCCAAACCAGGAAAGCATGACTATGCGCTTGTAACAAGTTGCTGGCCGAACAGTCAGGCATCCTTCATTCTGAAAAGTCTGGAGCGTACGGTCGAGAAGTACATTAGATAAATGGTTTTGGCGAATGGTTCCTTAGAAGCCATCAACATACATATTTACCAAAGCAGAAAGTCCTATGAACCAGCTTTATATGACCTTGTAACTAAGATCAAGGTGGGGCTGGAAGCAGGTGTTTAGTACTATGAGAATCTTTGCTAATATTGAGGGGGTGTTTGACAACGCTACCTTTGACTCTATGTGCTCTGCGCCCAGAAGACATAGGGTGGATGAAACAATCATAAGGTAGATTCACTTTACGTTATCTAGGAGATTGCTGACTAGGGGGGATGGAGCTATCGTTTGTATCACGGCAGAAGTTGGAAGAGGATGCCCTCAGGTCGGCGCGGCGTTCTCTAACCTCTCTTGTCGTCTTTGGAAGTGGAAATGCAAGACATCGTTCACATCCAGGCTTAACCGGATGATGTTTATGCATTGTCATCAGGTAAATAAATATCTCAGGGAGGTCTTCGTTAAGACATAGATAACCCTGAATAAGACTGACGAATGGCGCACTTTGCAGAGGCTTTTTGCCAATCACAACAAGACAAACCTAGTCTTCTTTACGCCGAAAAGAAAATTTGAAGGTCTTAACCTTCCCCTGCATAGAGGCGTGAACCTATTCACGTCGAGCTGAAGGTAACTAAATCGAGCGCTGAAAGTTTTCGGACAGTATCGAAGAACATTTAGTGACACCTGGTGTCTGAGACCGGCTATGGTATTCTGAGTTAAACCGACTACCAAGGAGCATGTTTATAGGCATAACGGGTATCGTGAGTACAACGTCAGGACCGGCTCTTAATGATGCGTTGGTTTTTCCAACTCTGGATTTAGCGATCTAAGAGGAGGCATCAACAATGGTGTGTCGACTGTACTCTTTTGGATTGATCGGAGTTCCGGGCACAGAGAGTTGTTAAGAAGGTTGTCAGAGCAATACCCTTTGTTTTTTTGGAACCTAATGACAAACTGATACCTGGAGCCTCCTTTGGAAAAAAGTACGTCCTTAGATTTTCTACAAGGGAACAGTGAAGAGATCCGGGTGCTCTCTTGGGAAGCTCGGTGAAAACTTTCCATACCGATGGGCCAAGCAAAGCGGGAACGATCGGGTACATCAAAGATCAAAGATAAATAAAATCAATGGGGGCCGTTGGTGTAGTTTTGACGCCTGCAAAACATCCAAGTGTTACTTGAAAAGGCCTGACAGGTTGGTAGCAAAATTCTCAGACAAAGAAAAAGTAATCTACGAGAATTGATAGAACGGATTATGGCGCACAATCCACGCCGACGACACATGGTCACAATGCATTATCGACGATACAATGTGCACATTTTGTTTGGAGGAGGAGAAGAGTACAGAACATTTTCTCAGCCGCTGTCCAGCCTCCTTTGAACGTTTTAGATGGTCTATTTTTAGGCCGGATGTCTCGAGAATGGACGAGATACATTATTTTTCCCTCAACAAACTGTTATTATTCATGACGGAGTCCGGTAAGTTTGCAGAGGAGTTTCTCCAAATCCTGTCTGTAGAACTTAAGTATAATGGGAAATACTGTTCGAGAGTTTGGAAAAAGTTGTTTTTCTTGGTTTTTCCGGCCACCCACAATTCCATTCCATTCAATGGGCCATATGCACAGCGACCCCGAAAGTGATCACTTGTGGATGACTTTCCGCCCTATATGGCAATGCTTCTAATGTAGCCTATCACCTCCAAGGGCTTTTGTTCCAGATATCATATGGTTCCTCTCTGGCAACATAAATTAAATTGCTTATTTGAAGGGCAGTCAAATTGTTTTGCTTGCCTCTGCCCTGAACATTCCATCCAGACGCAGTTAAACATTTTGTCTACCCAGTTACTTATGATCCCTTTAATGTGTGCTTTTATGAGCCCACTAAAGGGTTACGGACTATGAAATACTACGGTAGCTCCTTGTTTCGCTGGCAGTCAGCCTCCTCATTATCATCATGCTCTTCATGCCCTGGGGTACGACTTAAATATGCCAGCCCCACTTTCACCATTTTCAGGTTCAGATCCATTTGTGTAACAAACAACCCCATTTGGTTTGTTGTATGGATTCCCCGCACTAAAGAGGGCTAGATCGGTAGTGTGTACCTCAAATTTTCTAAGGATTTCTAGTTATGGAGAGGCCGTTCCTTTAGGTTGACTTCTCTGATATATTAACATAGAATTTTCCCCATACCTTTAAGGCGAAAGGAACTGAGGCTAATAAGCCGGTTTACATACTTTTGTTAAAAATACGATCTTAATCGTAGATCATCTGCCGGGAATCGGAACCCAGCCAGAGTGAAGATCTATAAAATTTAAAGAGTACTGGGGCTATCAAACTAATTCGATGCTGAAGGAGATATGGGTAGACCCCATCCGGTACATACTTATTTTCCACCTCTACCTTTTCAGCTCCTGTGGAAATACGACAAATGAGTATCGCGGGCGACTTACTGGTAGACTACAAACCGAGGATGGAGCGTGACATAGCTGATGAAGATTCACAATTTCAGCAATTCTACACCGGTAAAGTTATCATCAAAGGCTCCTTGACGGTGGATAATTTAATGCGTGAGAATAAAATGGCGACTGCGGTCTTTGTGAATGGTCTGCCCTTCTCTGAGACGATGCTGAAGGAGATCTATTTATTGCATAATGCAACACAGGTAAAAATAAAGGCAACAAAGTTGAAATGAATTCTTTTTTTATTGCTAGAGTGGCGTCTTTGAATGAGTCCGTTACGTCCGTGCGCTGCCGAAATCCTCAACTAACTGAGTAGACTGTGTATACAGGAAGTGTATTGAATTCCAGATTGGTAATTACTGCGCCGTCGGACGAACATACAAACACTGCATCCACAGTCCACCCAATAGTCCGTTTCATGCGTAGGCGGCACGAATGAAACGTATCCATTTCGACAGTCGGCTTTAATTAAGCCCATTATTTCATGCATTATCTCTCTCCCTCTCCCCTGCAGACTTTCAACACACCCGTGAAGTTTGGCAACGCTAAAGTCACCACGCCACGATTCACCACCAACCGTTTAGATGGTCATCCTACCATGCAACACTTACTCACCACTGGTCATTCGCCGCTCGATAGTCCATTGCTGCTCATATTTATGCGGGCCAGGGTGGATGGCGATTTGATATGTAAATCATATAAGTCGAAGCTACTCGAATTAGCCACAGATGCAGTGCGTCATGGTGATTCAGCCAACATAACCGGTACGAAGACTTTCCGCGCGCCACTTACTGTCGATCATCTAATTACCGACAAGCTGAATAACGTAACAGCCGATGAGTTGATTCTGAAGTCAGAGCTGCTGCATGAGCTACATTTTAAAGGCAACAAATCCTGCAACAAATTGGTGGTCACCGGCAAGGCAATCGTAGAAGACCGCCTCCATAGCACTTTTGTGAATGATGCGCATGAAAAGACGCCAATGCAGCGTGATTATTTTATCAAGCATTTGCATTTGCCCTATCACTTGCAAGCTAACAACATTGTTGTACAAAAGATCAATGGCCTTGCCTTCGATCAGATTTTTGATAGACTTTCCGTGGTGAATGAACAGTTGGTGTTGCGCAAGGATCTGCTGGTCAAAGGAAATGTGCAATTTATTGAGAATCTGCAAGTGAACAAAATAAATAATATATCTTGGCCAGATTATGTGAAAAACTTGGTGCGTTTAAATGAGAATGCCGTAGTAAATGGTACCGCATGCTTCCTGCAGGGTCTCACGGTCAAGAATGCACTACACACGCCACTGATCAACAGCGTTATTATGGAAGATGTCTTCAGTAATGTGCTCTTAAAATCGAAACCGCAGCGCATAACTGGCCACTATACATTTGGCAGCTTACGCTTGACGAATCTGGATGTTGGAATCATTAATGATATAGCCACAGATACTTTTATAGACACGCGCACAGAAAACCTTACTTTGCATGGCGATTTTATAGTACCAAAATTAACGGTACACGGCAATTTAGTTGGCAATTTCGAGAATACTTTCCAATTCGCGACACTCAACGAGCAGTTGCAACAGCTAACACAACGACGCTGGCGAAATTTAGTGGTGCACGGCAATGCTTACTGGAATGATACAGCGATACGCAGCAGCAGCATCAGTACGAAACAATACGAACAATTGCAATATTTGTACCGACACGCGGTGCGACGCAGTGGTGATCAGGCGATTTCTGGCACCGTATACATGACACAACCGCTAATTAGTAGAATGCGCACGCGCACCACATTCCCCAATGGTGTGGACCTTGCGCACATAGCGCGTGATTGCCTATTGAAGAACACAACAGCGCCGCAGACGATAGTAGGCGCGAAATTGTTTCACAAACCCTTACGACTGCAGCGCGCTTTGGTTGAGGGTCCGCTGGCGATTACTACACTTAACGCGGTAGATGTGCAACTCTTCCATGCGTCTCTCTACCGGCGCTCGAGCGGCGTGCCTATTGGCGGACCTTTATACTTCAAGGTAGCACCCATTATTGGACAACTGATTGTGCAAGGTCAAGTGAATGGCATGCCAACGTCACAGGTTTATACGCCAGCAAGGGGTGCGTTGCCACCCGTAAGGGTGCATAATTTGGTGATCGATGACGCGCTGCAGATCGGCGATATTAATGGGCAGAGCTTTGATTATTTGCTGAAAAATAGAATCAAGCTAAATGGTGAGCCACAAGAAGTGCAAGGCTACCTGATATTCGAACACCTGGTGACCAACAACGAAACGCTACTGCAGTCCATCAATGGCGTGCCGATCGATGATTTGATATACAAGAAAAGCGATCAACTGCAAGTGATCGCCGGTCAAAAGTTGATTGATGGTAATCTAATCTTCAATGGGCCCTCGCATGTGACGCGTTTGAATGGGCAACGGCTGGTGGACGCATATCAGCAAAGTATTTTCACTACGGCGAACTATCATTTCGATAATCTTACCATAGATCAAGGTATATTTGTGAAGGGCTTAGTGCTTGTTGCCGATATGCCGCTGCACGCTAGAGGGCGCACGTTATCTAATAGTACTGCAGACCGCACCGAAGACGAGGAGCCGGCGCTAGATGAAGCGAACTTACTTGAGGAGCATACCAATCAGCTGGCAGGCGACGACGCTTTCCGCGAACAGCTAACAATTGCCGTTAATCAGCTGAGCAATCTACTGAGCGCGCGGAATGCCACCAGTTTGCTGGCTGATGAGCAAAACGCACATTTGCTATACCTCGACTTTGACTTCGATACACAGGTACTGCGGCAGTATGCTAACGAAAGTGTAGATGAGACCTTCCTCTACGAACAGCGGCATGTAACGCCCTGCGAGCATCGGTTTCTACAAGTGCAATCTGCGCTACACAACCGTCGTCTCTTCATACAAATGTTACCACGAGTTTTTTGTACGCCAACGCTGGCGCGATATCGGCGAAGGCACAAAACTATTGCGGCGATCGTTTTAAGAAATAAAGAGTAAAATTACCGTTAACGGCTTGAAAGTAGCAAAAGTATTTGGCATGCGAAAATATATTGAGAGCATTGAATTATTTGTGGATGCTAAGATCATACCTACCTGCTGTTGCATGCCATCGATGAGGCGCGCAATCGCAATGAAGTGCGCGTGCTGCGTATTGATGATGCGCTCGACGAAGTTAAAGATTGGCAAACCATACCTTTTGGCATAGGCAAGTCAGTGCAACTCTACCAGCTGGATAACTTAACGGTGTTGGCTAGCGCTGCTTTGGTAGGCAATCAACAAGCTGTCAGCATTTACCATTTCATGCCACAGACGGCGCACTTTAAACTCGCGCAAGTCATCGATGGTCCCTATGATGTTATGGCGCTGGTAGCTGTAGAACCGCATCACTATCAATTGTTGCTGAGTTGCCATAAATGTCAGCATGTGAATGTTTATGATTTGAGTAGCACGCCAATGGATCCGTATAAACTTTTCCAGCTCATTAAGTTGCCAATACGCGTTGATAAGTTGCACCCGTTCGCGATGAGCGATGGCGAACAATTTCTGTTGATTTTGGGCGAGCAGCAACAGGATTTTTACCATTTGTACAAATATGCCTCCATACAGGGTTGGTTGCACAGTTCCGTCGGCTATTTCCGCAATATACAATTGGCTGTGCCGTTGAGTGAGAAGTTGGCGCAATCGAAGGATACTGATTTGTTGTTGCTGTTGTTGTGCGGTGGCGGCGAAATGGAAAGATGCAGTGTGGTGCGCGCTATTACGCAGATATGAATATGTTGTTGTTTTGTTTTTGTATAATAAATTTTGTAAAATTATTGCAGTATTCTTTAAAGTGTGAATTAATCAAGTAATGAGTATTTTTTATTGAGTATTTATTACTATGTAAATATGTGTGTATGTATATGGTAATACTTTGATATTTTGAATTTCCTGGAATAATTACGAAAATTGTAATCTCAGAATTGGTGTATGCCGCTAAAAAAAATAAAAATTAGGAAAATTGCTGAATGGATTTATGAAATCATTTGAATAAGTCTTCTGTCTTATATTTAAAAAAATGTTTGGAAGCGCCTCTTGACTCATATAGAACACTAATCGCCAGACTTTTATCTGGACCAGTATCTCCTAGTTCCTATTGGGGACATAACCGAGCACATTTCAAGCGGAAGTTTACGCCTTTTATTTGTTTGCGGAGCCTTACATAAATAGAGGGTACCGTAATGAGAGAATTATAATTCTAAGTGACAGTCAGGCAGCACTCAAGGCTCTCTTATCTAATAAAATCAAATAATTTTGGTCCTTGAGTGCACTGAGATGCTCAACTCCCTTGGCAGGCACAACAATATCCGACTAGCGTGGGTATCTGGTCAAATGGGAATAGAGGGTAACGAAACGATGGTCTGTCTCGCAAGAGATTCCAGTTGGTGCCGAGTCCTTCCTGGAAGTAGGTCCCAATACTGTAAGGAAGGAGCTTAGAATATGGAGAGGAACACTAAGAGGGATTTTAAAAGGCATAGTTCGGTAGGAGTACGTCAGGCAAAGAGTCTACTGGGAGGGCACCACAAAAGAATACTCCAAACTTGAATTAACCTCTCAAAGGAGAAGATAAGATAAGAAAAGAAAAATTTTTCTTCACAGGACACTGTAGACTAAGGGGATTTATGTATGTACATGAGCTACGGATATGGTCAAATGACGAAACACCTTTTCACATCCTCATCGAGTGTGATGCAGTCTGCACGCGTCGCGAGAGAAGTGTAGGCTCAACGTTACCACAGCTTAAGCACATTCACTCCCTAACATCGCAAGTGCTATATAACTTTCTGAGGGATTTAGGTCTAGCGGAGATATTGTTGAAGTGTAGAGGGCACAATAGATGACTAGGCCGCGGTGCGTACCGTATTATGATTTCTATATATCTATGTATATACGAAGGGCATCATCATCAGTAACCAACTCTGTATAGTTGTCAGCCATGCAGAGTTCTCAAAAAACCCCGGAAGCAATGTCCGTGGGGTGAATCAGACTAGGCTGAGCATACTTTGAAGTGCCATCAAATTATAATTTAAGAAAGTTTTATTATAAGCCTATTGAGAAGTGCATGTGAAAAAATTTCATATAAATATTCCATAAAGGAAATGTTTGCACATTCCGCAGTGCATACCATCTTGGTGTTAGTAGTCGCGCCTAAACACTTGTACTTAAATATGCGCTGCTATTTCAAAAAGCTAAAGATTCTTTACTTCTTTTATTGAAATATATATGTACAATTTTATTTAATAAAATTAAACAGCATTCAATTTGTATTGAGAAGACGAAACTTCAACAAAAAAAATCTCACTTCATCCTAAAATTTCATAAATGGCATTTCAGATCCTTTCTAGCCAACTGCGCATAGATTGTGCCATGTGGTTTGTCGACTGGAATGAAAACTTCATTATTTTCACCTGGCGCAACACTTTGAAAAGGTTTCGTATCGAAATTGAAATAATGTTTGTTTGGCAGAGTCATTGAAATCACGGAAATTTGTGGTATAACATCAAGCACTTCTTTTTCGGAGAGATACAGAGTATTTTGTACAGATACCGAAGAGATGCCCACATTTGGATCGCCAGCAAAATTTCGAATTATAATATTCTTCACACAATTCCAGGTCTGGCAGAATTTCACATCTTTAATGTCGGAATATTCCCAACTGCAGTCGACGACGGTGCTGAAAAGACGATCATATTGATCGGGTAGCGTGCGGAATTCATCGTTGACGAAGTTAACAAAGGACGATTGAGTTGTCTTGAGTACGCGAAGACCCTTAATGCCGCTAATGACAGTTTGTTTGGGATCTATAGAAGAAGAAGATGAAGGAAAACTTATGGAAAGTAAATAAGGAAACCCCACTGAAATCAAAATATAATACTAAAGATTTCCAAAAACCCACCCGTTCGTCTCAGCACCACATCACAGT